TGCCACCATGCTCTGCAAGGCAATGATCCCGGAGTACTTGCTTGTCTCCTGGTGCGGAAACGTTTCCTACTACGGAGGACCCAATAAGGCCGCTCTCCCCAGGAACCTGATGCAAAGGCTTTCCAGTTACCTCCAGCAGAGCTTCGTGGAGATGTCCCTGGAGGATTTCAGCTCTATCCCCGGACATATAGACCGGCTCAGGCAGAACAATCATGCTAAACCGGACATTGTTAGATTTTTTTTCAGTAGTTGCACTGCCAAGGACTGAAACGTTAAGCGCCTAGGGCAAAGTAATCATGCAAAACCCATTGTTAATATTGTTAATATTCCTGTTCTGTTAAAAATAAATGTTTACATGTTTAAAACACTTACTGACTGATCCTTCCCCTGATTCTGTGTCCGGGTTAACGCCTGGGGACGGTTGGTAGGGGATCTCTGTAAGGGTGATGAAGAGATCCTGGCTGTCGGGGAAATCAGCGTTGTAAACGCTGTCGACTGCCTCGTCCTCCTCATCTCCTTCCTCATCTTCCCCGTCCGCTAACATGTCCGAGGAAGCGGCCATCGACAATATCCCATCCTCAGAGTCCACGGTCAGTGGTGGGGTAGTGGTGGCGGCCGCACCTAGGATGGAATGCAGTGCCTCGTAGAAATGGGATGTCTGGGGCTGGGATCCGGAGCGTCCGTTTGCCTCTTTGGTCTTCTGGTAGCCTTGTCTCAACTCCTTGATTTTCACGCGGCACTGCGTTGCATCCCAGCTGTATCCTCTCTCTGCCATGGCTTTAGAGATCTTCTCGTAGATCTTTGCATTCCGTCTTTTCGATCGCAGCTCGGAAAGCACGGACTCATCGCCCCACACAGCGATCAGATCCAAGACTTCCCGATCAGTCCATGCTGGGGCCTTCTTTCTATTCTGAGATTGCATGGCCATTTCTGCTGGAGAGCTCTGCATCGTTGCCAGTGCTGCTGAGCTCGCCCCGATGTCCAAACAGGAAATGAGATTCAAACTGCCCAGACAGGAAAAGGAATTCAAATTTTCCCGGGGCTTTTCCTGTGTGGCTGGTCAGAGCATCCGAGCTCGGACTGCTGTCCAGAGCGTCAACAGAGTGGTGCACTGTGGGATAGCTCCCGGAGCTATTACCGTCGATTTCCATCCACACCTAGCCTAATTCGACATGGCCATGTCTAATTTAGCGCTACTCCCCTCGTTGGGGAGGAGTACAGAAGTCGAATTTAAGAGACCTCTATGTCGAACTAAATAGCTTCGTGGTGTGGACGGGTGCAGAGTTAATTCGATGTAACGGTGCTAAATTTGACATAAACTCCTAGTGTAGACCAGGCCTAAGTACTGAGCTATAATAAATCTGCAAACTGATTTTATTAGCGAGTTGTCCAACATCAGAGCAACAAGTTATTTGTGTTTTAAATTATCCAAAATATAAAACCTTCCGGCCTCATGGAGGGAGGAGCAGACTTCAACAATAAGGAAACACACATTGCATTTTCCCCTTCAGATTTCAAGTACTAAGTGTCTGTGTGGGGCTTCTCTTCCTAAAAAAGAGCTAGTTAGATTCCCACCATGTGTGGGGAAATTATGCCACAAATTGCTCTGAGCTTAAGAAAAATTGCTGTCTAACGCAACCAATTATAGCTGTGATTTTTGGCGTTAGTTTATGACAGACAGGGCCGGCTCCAGGGTTTTGGCCGCCCCAAGCAGCCAAAAACAAAAAAAAACAAAAACAAAAAAAAAAGCCGCGATCTAAAAAAAGACGCGATCGCGATCTGCGGCGGCAATTCGGCAGGAGGTCCTTCACTCCCAGGCGGAGTGAGGGACCGTCCGCCGAATTGCCGCCGAATACCTGGAACTGCCGCCCCTGTCCGGAACGGCCGCCCCAAGCACCTGCTTGAGAAGCTGGTGCCTGGAGCCGGCCCTGATTACAGACAAAGTAAACTGTCTTCCTGGTTTAAAATGTTCGGTTTTGTTTTATTATGCTACTGTTCAGAACAGGAATAAGTTTCTCATTTAGTGTACTGTTGATGTAGAAGCCCTGGTTATGCTCCAGAGTTTGTTGTATGAAACAACCAACCAACCTCAGTAAAAGGCGGGAAATCTCCGTGGGTCCTGCTTCTGGAAACCATCCCTATCCTCTACCACACATCCATGTTTTAAAAGAGAGTTTTCATTGTAGCAGATGTCTTTTTCTGCCAAACCTACTAAATTTCCTACAGATGTGCAAGTATCAGAGCAAAGATACAAGTCTATGCTGTTTCTGGAGGGAGGAATTTTCTGTTCCTGGTGCTTGTGAACTATCTTGCCTACCAAAATGGGTATTTAGAGTCAGACCGGTTTCTCTAATGCTCGGAACCATTGCACAATGTTATTTCTGCGTAGATCAACTTAATGTGTGGATACTGGAACGGATCTCAGTTTCTATTATATTTACACAAATTGTTCCCTGGGATTTCTGCCTTCTACATCTCAAGGACGTGTAAGTGCCTATTCCTAAGGGGAAAGCAGCACAGGGAATTCTGCTCACTTGCTAATAACTGTCTTCACATCTAGGCTCAGGACCTCCCCCTCAGTCTACTAACCTTTCTGGAGTCTTCAGAGCCTTGGTGTGGTGAAGTTGAGACCACACACCCCTTTCTGGCCTTCAAATCCAAGCTCTCTCCAGAGAGGCTGCAATTCAAGATATAGACCAAACCATTGCCTTCTGGCAGCATTTCCAGTCAATGCAGAGACGAGCTATCTAACAGCAGAACAGAGGTCCCGGAACGTGGGGGCTGGAGCGGATGCCAAAGGTGAGCACAATAGGCACCCAACTCCCCCACACATTTGCATTAGCAAGCACAGTACAAAATGTCAAACAAGTAACAATTGTCCCTTATCTCTATGTGATCCGGGGCGAAAGAGCAGCTGCTTTCATCAGGCAGAAGAGGGCCATAGATGGCCCATGTAGAACTACACTTATGTGCTTCAATCAGGAGCGCACCTACATTTTCAACCACTTCAATCAATTTTCCTTTAGGGCCTAGTGATGTCACGTTTTGGATTGCCGTAACCTCAGAGCCTGACTAAGTGGTTGTATGAATAGCATCTGTATTTACTTCAAAAGGGAGTTGCAGCAGCGTGTAATTCAAAGAGCCCTGGAAAGCTGGGTGCTCTCCTTTTGTGAGCTGAAGCAGAAAAAGAAGATAATGGCACGTCGTAGATGTCGGATAACTGTTACACATTTACCTGTACAGGCTAGGTACAGACATGCTACTGCCCTTTTTGTTCTCTCAGCTGCAGAAGCCTAGTGGAAAGGCAAATCCGAATCTCAGCACATATAAGGGTATGTCTACACTACAGGATTAATCCGAATTTAGATAATTCGAATTTGGGAAACAGGTTGTATAAATTCGATTGTGCGCGGCCACACTAAGCACCTTAATTCGGTTTTTAACCACATTAATTCGGTGGTGTGCGGCCACACTACCCCATTAATTTAAACACAGTAATTCGGTGGTGTGCGGCCACACTAACCCTAATTCGAATTAACAAAATCGATTTAGGCTCTACTCCGCTCGTCGAGGTGGAGTACAGAAATCGATTTTAAGTGCCCTTTAATTCGAATTAACTGGCTCTGTAGTGTGGACGGGTGAAGGGTTAATTCGGATTAACGCAGCTAAATCCGAATTAAAGTCGTAGTGTAGACCAGGCCTAACAGAAGCTTATAAAACAAGAGGATCTACTCCAGCACCAGAGATTACAGCACATTCTGTTAGCATGCAAGACTGGGAAGTGGCAATTAGCCCTCAGGCTGTAGGTTAAGATATTATAAAATGGACATTCAGGCATCATCAGTTGCGTCATTGGGACTATAGGGAATGCACGAGTATTCCTGATGTACCTCAGCTAACTTGTGTATATATACACTTTCCTGCTTTACTCACTTGGCCTCCATGGGAATGATATTCTTTGCATCCTACTATCAGGCTTGTGGGACACCTATTAAAAAGCAGAAACCTTATATTAACTTTGTCTAACACTCCCAGCCCTCCTAAGGAAGGAGTAATAGTGCTGAAAAAATAAAACTCCTGAATGGTTTAATTCCTAAATTGATAATTTGTAGTTTAGTGGTTTCACAGCTCTGGCAATGATCACTTCTGTGTGAGGTTTTGCAGTGTGGGCGGTCTGGCATCCCCGTCATCACATCAAAGGCTTGGTCTGGCTCCAAGCTGAAGGAATGAGAGGACTCTTCTAACAGGCTCATTGGACATGAACAAAGTCTATCGGAGAGAACACATTTTTCCATTCACTCATACACCATGAAGTGCAAACACGTCACCCTCCCTTTCTCCCAAATCCAGTGCCTTTCCTGTTCATTTCAAGATCCAGTTAAAATTGCCCTTGATTTACAAACCCTCCAGCTGGAGTTCTACTTTCCCGGACTTCTTACTGCTCTCTCTCAACCCCTCATGTGTCTCCCCAAACAATCAGATGACAGCCAGTACAGGAGCCTCCTTTTCTCTTCTGCAGCTCCTGCCATCTGCAACAGCCTTCCATCGCTTTCCATTTAATTTCAACTCTGTGGAAAAGACAACTGTTCAGCATTGCCTAGGCATCTGTCTGTCAACTACCATTTATGACTGTAATTGTATTAAACTCCGGAAAGTGAGCTAAAGATTGCATGAAGCACACTACACTTCAGAGCTGCTTTGTACAACTGGAGCAGAGAATAACTAGTGATGTTGAGGGATTCTGCATTGAAAACCCACGCTTCAAAGTTTGGATCAAAATTTTCAACATTGCACTGTCCAGAAGAATTTGGATCTGGGTTTTTGGTTTGGGCTGACCCCTAGTTTTGAGATCAGCTTTTACACACACAAGGACCTTTAAACAAAACTGAGTTTGCAAAACAATATTTTATTAATAAAAGATTTATAAACAGTAAGAAAGAAACTTCACTGCATGAAACGTCCAAAATAATTTCTGGAGCCATGAACTAGGTTCCTTAACAGCTGTACAAGGGTTTCCAGAGGGGAGTAGTACGAAGTACAAATTTCTCTAAAGATGGCTGAAAGTTCAAAAAAGCATCATGCATCTGTCCTATGCAGAGAAGCTACACAATAAAATAGACTTAAAAATACACACACAAAATCTGTACATCAGTGATTTTAAAAAGCCATGCGTGGTGTAGCACCCCGGGGGAGATTAGGGATGATCATACAATTCACTACCAGAGGAAACGCCATGATTCTGAATCAGGTACATGACTGGCCAGTTTCTGCTTGCAATTTCATCTCTTCTTTTCTCAAGGGGAAGGTGTCAATGAGCGCAAAGAGCTGCGCCGGTGTAGGTGGGAAAGAGTAACGCTCTTTGTCCATGCCGTGCTTGTCCATCACCACCACACTGAAGTTATAATGGGGGATGCGCAGCAACAACCTGAAAAATTCGGAAATCGGTTTTTGAACAGCCTTATTCCCATAAGGCCCCGTGAACGTCTAACACTGTTGTGAAAAGCAGGAAAGAGTTGGAGGAGATGGAAGGCCGGGGTGGCCAAGCTACAGGAGCCAGAGTTCCAAAATGCAGCCCACAGTTGTGCTTCACTGGGAGGTGAGGCCTGCAGAGACTACAGCTCCTAGCAGGCCCAGCACCATATTCTTCCTCTCAGAGCAGGAGGCCAGGTGGCACTCAGGGACTTACAGGTGCTGCAGGCTGTGCCACTACATTAAAGGACAGTCAAGGCAGCTGCAATCTTTCATTTTATGCTGGGTCTGAGAGCCAGGTGGGGTACAAGCCAGGTACGTATCCACAGGGCTCAGGGGCATCTTTACTTGCCTAAGTAGTGCCTCGCCAGCTCCACTGCTACTTACACCTGGGCTGGGGGGAAGTGTAGTGTATGTACTCTGCATGCTGCTGAAAGGACTGTACAGCAGTACCTTAAGCATCTGCTCCCTAAGAGGTTTGCCAGTGGACTTCAAAGGGATCAGTCCTAATTTGGCATGACAGAAAAGCCCCCTATGTCAGTGTGTGGAAGAAATCATTTACATCTGCCCCTTTGCCTCTCTCCCCCACAGCTGGCTCTGGCACTCCCCCCCCAGCACTTCGAGTCCCCCTTACTGCAAGGGAGAAAGCCTAACCCACTCCCAGTCCAGCCTTAGTGCCATTAAAGCAGCCTAGGCGCCTGTGTGACTGCTGACTGCCACAAGCAGGCTGGGCAAGGCCATGGTGGTTTCCCTTCTGAAGTGGCCCTGCCTGTAGCATTCCTAAAAGTGGGACTTCAAAGGGAAACCACTTCTAGCCTGGCTGCAGTGTTCAGTAGCACTACACAGATAGCAGGGCTGGTTCGGCTGGGGTGGGCTGGCAGTAGATACAGAGGTTCCTCGTTCAGCCTTTAATAAAGACCCCAAGTGCCTAGGGTGACCAGACAGCTCGTTTGGCCCAGGACAGGCCCTTGTTTAAGCCCTGTCCCGCTGTCCCAACTTTTTTGACCAAAGCAGCCACTTGTTCTGTTTGCTCTTGCCGACTGATCAAGTTGGTTAGAGCAAACGGGTCAAGTGGCTGCTTTGGTCAAAGAAGTAGGGTGCAGAGGAACGTGTGAGGGGGTGAGCGGTACTGCCAGCCCCATGCGGGGGGAGGACGGGCTCAGGCAGCAGCGCAGGGACGGGGCAGGGCTAAGGGAAGCGGCTCAGGCCAGCCCTGCACAGGGAGGTGGGATGGGGGGGGTGGCCTCGAGTGAGCGGCTCTGCGCAGCCCCACAATGGTGTTCCGTTTTCCCTTTGGGACATATGTCACTGCCTGAAAGAGAAGCAGAGGGGTGAGGGGGAGAGAGGGGCAGACTGTGACTGCTGCTTGAGTGCAATCCTCCCAACGTAATTTGTGAAATCAAGGGGAAACCAAACACTTCTATTACGTAGACTAGGAAGTAGCACTCACAGGCCTCCATCGCTGGGCCAGGTGCAGCACAGACATACACACTGCTTGCTCTGTACATTCTAGGCTGTTGCAGTTGAAAAGGACTAGAGGCACACTAGTGCCATGACTGCTTCTGTGAGGAATCCACTAGCAGGAGAAAGTGAGGTGGGAAGAGTCTTCCTGGCTGCTCAAACCACCTAGTTATCACAAGTGGCAACAAAACTGAGAACGTTGTGAGAGTCAAATGCTCACAGCATGTTTCAATAGGAAACATTTTGAAGTGCTAGTTCATCTGTGCAAAATTGTCGACATTCCTTTTACAGAGAGCAAAGACCAGCTTACAGTGACTGTGTAGTAGCTAGAGCACAATCAGGACCAAACAAACTCTGAGGCTTAGCTGTGCTGCAAATAGTTTAAAAAAACAGATAGCAACCCCCTGCTCCCCTCCCCGATATCATTCAGTACCACCCTGTCTATATAAAATTCATTCTTGGAAATAAGTCACTTTGTGTGAAGAGGATCTAACAATACACATAATACATTTCACTGCCAATGTTATATTGGGATAAACAAGATTCTATTATAAAAAGGATCCAAGAAACAAAAAAGACTACATTACACCCACAGCTGCTGAGGTGTAACTGAATGATGGTGAGATTTTTCATTTTACCTGAGTTGCAAAGCAAGTGCTGGAGGCAGCAACTTCACTCCTATTCTTCCTATCTGTGCTGGAAAAACACCAACCAATTCGATCACTGTAACATGTCGGAGGTCTAAACCACATTGCTCTGGCTAAAGGTGTCAAGAGAAAAACCAGGAATACATATCATGATTGGATTTAATTATAACAGTTGTTTACATTAAATGCACAATAAGGTGATGTTCTACACAGAGCTCCAAATCTTTGCTCTCTCTAAATGCTTTCTTATTTTAATTTAGACGTCAGCAGTGGGAACTTGAGAATGTTTTCTGGAGTCATGAAGGCGGCAGTTCTGCTACATTAATGGATTTTTAGCTGATTATTGGGGGGGGGGGGGAAGACCACCCAAGTACAATTTAGATGTCTTGGTAATGAATTGAAAAGATGCCAGTCTATTAAAAATTGTGCCAGCACTTTAATCTGGCACCCAAACAAAGAATGTGAAATGTGAGCCCGCTATAGAAAAGTGCTCTCTTATGCCAAATTGTCTGAGGATCATGGAGAGCAGAGGGGGGGAAAGGATTGCAACACTTAAATTTAACCTGGTCAAAAAGTCACCTAGGAATTGAGAATTTGGTTGTATTAATTGGTCAAGCCACTCATGTTTTAAAAATAAAATGCTGAAACACCATTTAAAAAAAATTTTTTTTTACATTACGCAACTGGCTTCTGGAATATATGGGGGGAAATCAGAGTAAGTTCAGGAGTCCAGATTTGCAACTGACACATAATTATCACTGCTGAATTTTGTTCCAGTGGTGGCAGGCAGTAAATTTACAGTCCTCACGGCCACCAATCATGGCTCCATTCCCAGCTGGGCTGGCAAACAATCTCTCTCTCTTCTGGGCACTTGTGCACCCCTATTGCATGCCACTAACTCTGACAACAGTCTGAGTAAAGTTTACAGTTAGATAAACTGATAAGCCCTGAGGGTGGGATTCACAAAGGTACTTAGGCACCTGAGTCCCATTAATTTCAATGGGAATAACTAAGACTGTTGTCGTCATTCCATGTTTTTGGAGCAAACACCACAAAGATGTGTCTCTTCTATAAAGACTGGTCTTAGTTTACCTTGAGGAAAAATACTATTGGAGTTTATACTAAATAATTTGGAGCGTTTTCTGCAAGTCCTAGAAACAGGACCACGTTGAGGCTACATTCAGGACTAGCGAGAAAACAATTCTTTGGCTGATGATTAATTTGGATTCTGTGCTCCTTTGGTTACTGGTGTATTAGTTACTTTTGCAGACAGCCAACACAAGCTTGACATGGATGAACAGCTTACCAACAAGAACGACTGGAGGTTTCTTTAAAGTCCTTCAGGAGTTTGCTAAGAACTGGATGGTGATGCTGGTATTAGCTGGTTATGAGCACAACATTAATTTCTCTTGGGAAGATAGAATAGGGTCAAACTAGAGCCACGTGAAGGCCAGTGTTTGGTTCATTTACCCCATTGAACTCTACTATACCCATGAGTAAAGTGAATTAGAGCGGTCCAGTTTGGAGCAATGTTGACACTGATGATATTTCAGAGCCTTGCAAACATGTTTACTACAAAACTAGCAGCTCTTGGGCCAAATGCTCAGTGCTGTAAATGGGCATAGCTCCATTGCAGGGAGAGGGCAAGTCAATGAAGACTGACTGATTTACACCAATTGAGGATCTGGCTCTCGAGTTTAAAAAGAAAAAATGGAAAAAATGACCATGTCTTACCTGCAGCATTCCCAATTGCAACCTGTAGAAAAAATTGGCTGCAGTAGGAGTTGATACAATTAGTAGTCTCCGTTTCTCATAAAACTGATCCAAGAGGGCCGCTGCAGTTCTCACAGCAACATTAATATTCATAGCTGGAATTAAAAAACAAAAGCCGTGGAGCTCCCAGAAACAGACCCTTTTCAGACTTCAGCAGGCACAGCTATTCAGCTGGACAGGCATGCCCTGAGAGGTATGCAGGGGCTGGGTATGGATGTTAAAGGGCCAAAGTCAAAAGGTGCAAACCTGGTCCCACTGAAATCAATGGGAGTTTTGCCATAGGCTGCAGTGGGGCCAGGATTTCAAGCAGTCCCCCTCTCTCTCTAAGGCTTTATCTAAGCTTGGAGCTGGGGGTGTGATTTGCAGCTCGAACAGATGTACTCGTACTTGCTCTCATCGAGCGAGTGCTCTCAAAATCGCAGCCCGGGCAGCAGTGAGCAGGGCTAGCTGCCCCCGACTACAAACCCACCTGGACCCCGTGGGTCTGTACTCCGCACTGCTAGCCCATGCTGCTGCTCACCGCTGCATGGCTACATGACTATTTTTAGCTTGCTAGCTGGATGAGAGCTAGCACAAGTATGTCTCCAAGTGTAGACACAGTTTTAGTGCCACCCAAAGCTGTGAAAGCTTGTTTAATTTTTACGGCAACGAAGAAGATCAGGTTCCTCAGTAAACAGAACTAGCATATAGTGCTCCCTCCCCACACAAAAGAAACCGTAGGTAAGGAAGAGTGAACCTGACAATCTCTGCACCTGAGGTCCAGCTTCTATCGTGAGTACAATAATGGAGCCAAGGCTAAGAGAAAATACTTTCTAAACATCGAGAGAGTAAATGGACCATGAAAGACAAGCAGCATGGAGTTATTGGGGGGCAGGGGGAGTCTTGCAAGATGAACAACATTGGTGAGGGAAGGGGGTTGTTTCAGAATAAGAAAATAAGTGGAAAAGTGGTAGGTGTAATAAACTTTAGCTTTTAGTATTGAGCATTTGAAACAGTCAGAGAATATATGTGCCAAATTAGAGCCAATCAGCTTGGCTAATGAGCACTGTCGTGACCTGAAAACTGTCCGAAGGACCATAAATAAGGGTAATTATAGACAACAAGGTAGCTAATTGGCGGTTAAAGATTTTTAGTGACCCTCAGCAGGGGATGGCTGCAGGAGTTGGCACAGGATTCTATCATATTTAACAGCTTCCGCAGTAACAATCTGGATGAGGACATGCAAGTAGCACATTAATTAACGTTAGAGATGCCACTAAACTGTGCTAGCATGAACCAGTGTAATGGCATCTAGAGAGATTAGAATTATGGACAGAAAATAAGATAAGATTCAGCTGGGGAAAATGTAAGGCAATACATCTAGATAAAAAAGACATGAAACACAGACCTACAATAAGAATAGAAACCAGGAAAGAGTCATGTTCACACAGGGTGAGGGGAGATAAGGAACAGCAGACTAGATCTGCATTTGCAAAGTGATATGATAGCAAAAATAACCAGTGCAGTTTTGAGTTGTATACAGAGGCACCACATCATGGACGGAAAAAATTTAGGTTGAGCAGTAGAAATATTTTTTCCTGATGGCAAGATCTCTCAGATTGTAGAATAGTTTTGTTTGGAAAATGGTGGAATCCTGATTGCTTGAGGGATCCAGCATTTGGCCTGGACAAAACATTGGAGAACGTGATCTAATTTGGGGAATTATGTGAAGATACTCCTCCCTGAGTTTTTAAAACACAAGTTAATACTGAGGACTGCACAATGCTGGGCACGTTTCTATAGCTTAAACAGAACTTATTTGAAAGAGTCTTTAGGAATCTATTATTCATTCTATTCCCTGAAGCAGTAATGGAGAAATTTTGCCCCTAAGCCAGCAAAGCATTATGTAGAATGCTTTTTAAAGCTGTCAGATTTCATGATTTTGGATGAAATTTTCACTCGTGCATGAGTAACTCTGGTGTCTAAGTTATGTGCCTAAGTCACTTAGGTGATTTTTTAAATTTCACCCTCTGTAGTTAATGTGGTTTCAACTGGTCATCAGTTTGTTTTCCATTCCCTTTTTAAAAAACTGTTGTGTAATGTTGGGTGCAGTTAAACAGTTGCTGCAATGTTCTACTTTAGTGCTGTCTGTAACGACTCCAGAATGCAAAGCCTGTAAAGAGCTTTGAGATTAAAGGTACTATATAATTGTAAGACACTATCCTCATCCAAGGATAATGTTGCAAAAAGAGGCAAATGATGTGTGGGAAGAGGAAAGGTAAAATATTGCACTTGTTATTTCTAATGGATAAAAAAAAAATGTGGCTTTACCCTCCCACTCTCAATCCAGTAAAAATCACCACCTATTCCAGATGCCACGTGGGATCCAGTTTGTAAAATCTGCCTGGGCCCAGTGTCAGTAGTAGAATGTAGGGCATTCAGTAATCCAATGTGCCTGGATAATCAATTTTATCGGCAAAGAACTGGTATCTAAAGAGCACTATGGAATGAGAACTAGAGGAGAAAGAAAGAAAACTCAAAAGCCAGAGTAAGAAAATCTGTTCACACTGATACCGGTGGAAGAAAAAGAAGAGAGAGTCAAACTTACAAAAAGATGTGAAAAGATGTGATAGAACTGATGCGAGGGGAATAAGAAGCTTTCAGGTAATTAACCACAGAGCTTGTTGGCTTCTCTCTGTCCTCTCCAATACACAATATGCTCCAAAGCATTACCAAGAGACTTGTGAAAAATGATACAGTTGTATATTCGTTAGCAGAAGTATCCAGGTTGATTCTGTACACACCCAGGGCCAGCCTTTGAACACCGGACAGCATCTGTGCCATACACATAAATCATGAACCTGTGTGCAGTGCCATAGGCAAATTCTTTGTGCAATAAGTACAAGCAATCCCGTTCGCTGACCTTTCAGGCGGTAAGAAAGTACTCACGTACGTGTACAGGTTGGCTCCGTTCCTGACCAGCCTAAATTGTACTGGCACACTCTGGCTGGGCTTCCCTGCAGCTCATATCCACCAATGCAGGAAAACTCACAGGTGACACCATAGTTATCTCCATCACCTGTACATTTGATGTAGCCATTTTCTGGGGCATTCAGTTTACCACAGCGCCTCACTTTAAATACAAAAAAGAGAGAACATCAACTAATTCCCCGTCTCCGGAGCAGTGCTACTAATGAAATCATATTGTACTAATATTAAGGTGACATTCTGGCTCGCTGCTTATTATTAGCTTTCAAAGAGAACCCAGCACTTATTTCTTTTTTTAAATATGAATCTAGCTATTGATTCCTGGATCGTTTATGCATACATGCTAGTTTATATATTAGTAACATGGGATTGTGGAGGGGAGGGGCAGTTGAAGCCCAGGTTGTCAGAGACCCACAGCTTTCAACTCCGTGACAGAAGCAGCTGCTCTCCCTGACAAATGTCCTAGAGTTTGTCAGATGGCAGCCCTGTACAGATCTGACTCACCTGCTGGTCAACAACAACTAGATATTAGGGGAGGCATGGACCTGGGAGGGCCTAGATAATGGGAGGAAGTGGGCAGGGGAAGCATGGGCAGAGGAGGAGGCACAGATTTGAGAAGCAGAGCTGGAGGGCAGGGGCTGGTCAGTAGAGCTCCTATCTGTCTCCTAGACCCCCACTGCTCATCTGACCCCTAGATCCGTCCCCAGAGCTCAGTTCACTGGCTCCCTAACTTCCCTCAGTTGATTCAGGCATTTTCAAATTGTATGAGACAGAATATTCTTCCAGTGGGAAAAGTTCTCTCTCTCTCACACACACACACACACACAAAATACAGAAAGACTGGCTGTCACTTGGATCCTTACATAAGTATTAACTGGTTTTGTTTACACAATTTGACACTGTTCTTACCTCTGACTTTAACAAGAAATTTGCAAGTGCCTTTGTTTTCTGCTCTGTCATACACAGTGTATTGGATCTTGTGGTCACCTTCTGAAAAATGTGACCCAGGGGATGGGCCTTTCAAAATCACACTAAAAAATGAAATAAAATAGACCGGGTGTTCAGAAATTAAGTTAGGATTTGTCCAGTAGGAAAATATTAACAGCCTTCGGATGGAAAGCCCTTCTGTCACTGGGGAATGTTCAGATTGCCTGGCTGTGCTGAGAGTTTGTCGAGTGACAGAAAACAAGAGGAGGATGAGTGGCAGAGCCCACAATATTTAAGAGGTAAAGTCGCAGCAGCCTGGCTACTCCTAGCAAAGTTACCCACTACTGCTAACAGCTTAGTGTAGACAAAGGTAGTGTGACTCACATCGCTGTAAGACAACTGTCAATGGCATTTTATTTATTTATTTAAATTTCATGTAACAGTTAAACAAGGCATGAGTTTGTTTCTTTCCATGGAAACAAAAATACCTGGATGGAGAATCTAGAACTGAGCATCATTCATTATAGCAGGATAGTTGGTTGTACAGGATTTGAACATCAGTCAGGGCTAGTAGAGTACCACTGTTTGTTTGTTTGCTTGCACTGTTGTTGCCGTGTTGGTCCTAGGATATTAGCGAGACAAGATGGGTGAGGAAATATCTTTTATTGGACCAACTTCTGTTTGTGGAAGGTATAAGTCTTCAACCTACACAATGCTCTGTGTAGCTCCATAGCTTGTCTCTCTCACCAACAGAAGTTGGCCCAAGAAAAGATATTACCTCACCCACCTTGTCTCTCTCATTGTTTGTTTTTAAAAAGCCATCTGTTAACACTGCAGGTTACCTCTCTGTGCCAGACTATACATACAAAAAGGGTGGGAGGAATCAGGATTTAATCTCTGTCTTTTTGTGATGGGAAAGGCAGGCATCCCATTGCAGGCTTCAGCTCAGCTGCTCATTTCCAACCAAAGCATACGTCAAGAGAGTTCTAAACTCTCAAGGCAGAAACTCATAGACCAGGGCCAGACTAAGCACGGTTCAAGAAGCTTCAATCCACTCAGGGCCATATTTTTACCTCAGTAGAGTCCCTCTCATCCCTCCATATGCAGAAATTGTGAATACTTGCTGCCTGGAGCTTAGAGGACAAGAAGCCTTGAGATTGAATAAACATTCCTTAATCACCTGTTAGGCAAGTCCCTTGGTAATGAGCCTCTGAATGTTATGCTTCCAGCTGTACAAATGGGGCTTAAGGTGGCACCTGAATCCAGGGTTCTTGCATGGCAGCTTAGTTTCATCAGACCTTGAACCATCTTACCAGCACAGTAAACAGTTTTGCTAACCCCAACCATTCAAAAACCGTGAGTCAGGCTTCAAAGTCATGAGACTGACTTAAAAATAATCTTATGATTTTTTTAGATAAATTTTGGAGGGGGAGCATTATTTACTTTCTGGTTTTAAAGCCTTTAGGGTGCACTCGGGTCACATTTCTCTACAATAATTAGGGCTATAAACTTTCATTAAGAAAAAACTGAGATACTCACAGACTCACCTGGCTCCAGGAACCAAGACTTTAAGAAAAGCAGCAAATATCACAAGACTTGCAGTAAAATCACAAGAGTTGACCACAGAAATTCTGAAAATGCATATGTCCTTCACAGAAAGTTTCCATAGAATAATAGCTATTTCACTGGATTGGGAACAGTTATTGGTCCCATTACATTGGATTATACAGCTCCTATTTTTATCATGTGACACCATTTCACTGGGAGTGTTTGTGTGTGTGTAGGAGGCAGGTAGCATTATTAGTAATTTCCTCATTCTGACACCGAACAACAGATAGGCCAAAGTTCTTATTTTAGGATGAGAGCTTCTTTAGTGGCTCTTAACATCACAGTTCTTCTTTTGCAATCACAAGCAC